CTGCGAATCGTTGAAATATGCTGGTACCGTGACTACCGCATCTTTGACTGTGTGACCTAAGTAGGCCTCGGCAGTTTCTTTCATCTTCGTCAATATCATAGAACTAATTTCTTCCGGTGCAAAGCATTTCTGCTCTGCTTTAAACTCAACGGAAATTTTCGGTTTACCACCGTCACTAATCACTTTGAACGGCCAATGTTTGATATCTTCTTGAATTTTTGAGTCATCATATTTGCGACCAATTAAACGTTTTGCATCAAAAACTGTATTCTTAGGATTCATGGCGACTTGATTTTTTGCTGCATCACCAATGAGGCGTTCTGTGTCCGTAAATGCCACGTAACTGGGTGTTGTACGATTACCTTGATCATTTGCGATGATTTCCACTTTGCCATGTTGAAATACACCAACACACGAATACGTTGTTCCCAAATCAATTCCAATTGCCACCATTTTGTTTTGTGTTTGTTATTTATTGAATCTGCAATTATACGTTTCACTTTATACTTTAGAAATTCACAAGCTTCTCAGCTTCAAAATATTTTCACAAGTCTTCTCACTTCAATTTTTGTATGAATAATGAAAAAATTTCGATTGTTGGCTGCTTTTATAGAAAAGGCGTTCAGTCACCAACACAATCGAATGTACTAGAGAGTTCGCGTAGAAATGTCTTGAAAGTTGTAGAAGTATGATTAATAATAATTGCTTTATCTCTTAAATACGGCAGACAAATAAAATAACGGAGAAATACTATGCGCATAAATTGATGAGAGAGACATATACCACTATAAATGCATATGTGTTTTTTCTCTCCGCGTTTAACGCTTTGAAATCAAGCATAAACAAACACATGAAAAAATGCAACACCTTTTTGGCTAAAAATTACTTCTAAAAGCTATATGAATATATAAATTATGATGAGGTGACATTATGTTTTCTCGCAAATTCTGTAAAAGGGTATGTAAGTGCATACAAATAATATTTTTGTTATAAATTTAGCTGCAATCGATTCGCATTCCAAAATGTTCTAATAAAGTATTCATATGTATGCAAGCATGAAAAATGATGCAATTCCATTATGAGAAATAACTTAATTTTGAGTAATTCTCATGTTAGAGGACATGTCTCACACATACAACAACAATTAGAGAGATCTAAAAATAAATTAGAGAGCTAGAGAAAGAGTTTCTCTTCTCTCTTAACAGCTTAAAAAGCAATATGCTCTTGTAAACAATCTTTTCTCTTACTTTTTAACGATTTGGAAAAATTAGTAATTATAAAAATAAATGAAATATTTGCGAACAAATGCGATTTTCTTGGTTAAAATATGAATTAATAGGAAAACCGAAAAAAAATGATTAAAATTATATATTCTCACAATACTTGTAAAGACGTATTTAGGTATATATAAATGCTACAACGCGTGCATTGTTATTTTGAATTACTTTATATTCCGGAATGTTCTTATGAAATTTCCATAGTTCACAAACATGAAACAGAAACATATAGGTTTGTGCACGAAAAAGCAACTTTTATATATATTAAGGTGACCAACCTTGCCTCTTTGGATATGGAAAATGCAATTTTCCTTTTCGAGATTTGTTTAGCTCCTATTAGTTTTTCGTTATTGGTGAATTGAGCGTAAGTTGGGGCACATAAACTTTAACAATTATCTACCAGAAAAGTATCTATAATATTCATTATAGAAATAATGATTTACTTAGCATGTAATACTCTCGTACAAGCTTATGTGTATCATTTTGAACTCATGTAAGATTTTAAAAGTCGACCAGATAAAAAAATTGAACTTAAATTAAATGTATATCTTAATCCAATATCAAAGTCGCAAACTTTTTTATCACTAGAAACATTCCTAAAAAAATTCTGGTCACCTTATATGTATATGCGTATATTCCAATGGTGGTGTGCACAAATTACATTCATATTATTGTTATTATTATTATTAATTTCGCCAGAGAAATAAATTCTAAGACTAAAACTCTTAAAAGCACTAGCATCTAAGGCTATCGGCCTTACATTCATAAATTTGATAAATAGTATAAAATAAATGAATAACCAGGAGAACCAAGGAAATCTATTAGAGAATAACCCTGCAGAAGCAGCAATAAATAACTTCCAACGTGCACCAGATGGATCATGTCTCAATAAACCGCATAATTATGTTGCATTGTTCTCCGTAACACATGGAGACTATTTGTTAGTGCCAAAACTTATTGAGGAGAAGCCAGTAGATTATCCACATAAGAACAGAGATGCAACCTCAGGAAAACCCCAGGTGTCTTTGCCCAATTACACTTCCGGAACGGAACGCCTACGATTGTGCGCTTATGAATTTCTACATCATCATGAGCGAAATGCCCTTGTCTGTCTTGGGGGTTTTGCTAAGTATATAGCCGTTGCATTTTCACGAATGAAAGTCACAACAGATAAAGAATGGAGGAGCTATGGAGTCTATGTAGCTTCTGGGTAACGAACACCCCTTAATTATGTTGATGTGCAAGTAAGGGGAGAGGCTTTATCGATGGCAGATTCCGGAGTGGCTATCAACCTGACTGAACGGGATGACTTGTGGCTTCTAGCACAAGTCGGGTGCGCATTTCGGCTGTCTCGAACAGCCCCTGATTATAGACAAACTCTTTTAGACAGGATGAATAATGTAATAGCATCAAAAGTAGGTAATATCCCTCCGTATAAAGAATTGCAATATCACAATCGATTTGATTCATTAGCCAACAATGAGAAAGTGATTTTCTTAATGGCCGCTCTAGACTTATATTTAGAATTAACTGGGGAATCAGACTATTCTTTTATGAAAATAGGCTCTGCTGTACCTCGATACTTTGGTATGGAGACGTATACAGATCTAATATATATCTCCAATTTGCTGGCTTACAAAGGAATATACGATTTTATCGAGTGGACATTCCACGCCCAAATGGAGTTGGACATACATCAGATAATCTTTGAGACACACTTAGAAGAATTTTGAACAATCAAATCATATTTGCCATACTGTCAAACTCTTCGCTTATGTACAAAGAGCCCTTACTGCGCAACAGCAAATAAAACCTTGCATACAGTGATTTATGGAGTGGGCGCATTGTTCGGAATGCAGAGGTCTCAACGTTCCAACTTTCTGAGCCCAGGGTCATTAACACATGCAGCCATCAATATTGCAATAATTTATTTGGGCAATAGACATGGTGCATCATTAGCCAAAAAGTTAATTGCAGATGTTGGAATGGTCGCAGAAGCCATTATTGCACAGGGGGGACCAGAAGCAGCTGCAATCCAGGCACGGCGAGAAGAGATAAGCACGAATCGTGGATCAGCCACGGCTCTATTCACCAAGTACAATGATCGCAATTTTGCTTTTAACCAAGAAGAGATCAATCTACTAAGGCGCACTATATCTACAATAACTGATTGCCGGGAGAGAAGTATCGGTCACTGGATTACAACAACATTTATTACTTTGCTTCCGACTGAACCAAACGTTACAATCGATGATGATATACGGCGGCCACCTAATCAGGTATTTCTCCGGAAATGAGTAAGGATATCACTTCCAATACCTCCCCTATACAACTTTTAACCTCAATTATTCGACAATGTAACTTTTAAAACCTCACATACTTGAAGCTCTAACAATAAATTGAATCAATTATCATTACATTTATTTTCTTGAAGAGTGAACTTTTTCCTAAAAATTGCGTTTCTTTCGTTTATTTTGTGACTCGTAAATTCCTTTAATATTGACTATTAATTGAAAAGGTGATTGATTATTAATTAAGGTGACCCGAATTTGTTGTCAGAACATGACCACGCAAGAAGAATAAACTATTTTTAGACTTTTCGAGAATATACTAAAATGGAAAATGGAACGTTCGCACAGTCTTTTAGTCCTCAGTTGCATTTGCTCTTTTTTTTTTTTTCTTTATTCATTAAAAATAAATATGAGCGTTACGTAATATTTCGCTTTTTCGATAATTTCTTCTTGAAGGAGAGTTTTCCATATGTATTATTTCATCTTACTTTACGGCTGTTGAAAGCAATCAATACGTAAACGATTAAAATGAAAATATACTATTTATTTATTATGATGGACACGACCTCCTATTTACGACCAATCTGATGAAACGATAACTTCAACATTGTTAAAGAAGAGAAAAAGTGGAAAGCGGGACAAGCGGAGAAGGAAACTGAAGAAAGCGAACTTTAAATGGAAGAGTTTTACGAATTGAAATACATTGAGGGAAGAAAAGGTGGAAGGAAGTCACCAAAACAGGAAAAGTGCTAAATTATGGGAATTTTGCTTCTTATTAAAAATTTTTATTCAGTTCACTTTATATAAATTTATTATTAATCTAAGACTGGAAGAGGGACTACCGCGACCTTATAACTTCTTTTATATAAATAATTCCTATTAATACAATAAGCAACCGATTAGAATAAGGATTGAGATGAAAAGAAAGAGTATACGATAAAATTGGGTTTTCGACATTCATTAACTTCTCTTCCATATTTTTTTTTTTTACATTCTTTCTTAACCATTAATTGATGTGTGTTTAAAAATCATTCGTTAATAAATTTTCTATATATTTATGCAATAAATGTAACATAAATGTCATTCATTAATTGCTTTCCATTTCATTAAATTCACTCCCTTTTAGACCAATCATCCCATGAGCCTAAATACACTTTTACATTTCGATAACCGAGTTTTTGGAGTATTTCGGCAGCATTTTGGGATCGTTTACCGCGTCGACAGTAAAGAACTATTTCCGTATCAAGGTGTGGTTTGTCCCGATCATACTTAGTTTTAAATTTATTTTTATCGAAATCTGGATGCAATACTTGAGCGACAATATCTAAAGGTATATTTATGCTAGTCGGTATTTGTCCAGTTTCACGTATTTCATTGGCTTCGCGAACATCAATTAATACTTTTTCTGGATGCTTTAGTAATTTTTTTATGTCCTTATATTCAAGTATTCGCATACTTTTTGAAGTCGAAAACTCCTTTACAAAGCGATGCGGAAAATTAATTGTAGGAAAATTTTTGACAGCAGATGCAGATACGAAAGAATAGTTAAAAATTTGTGGGCTATAAACTGTTAATACACTTAAGCGTTTCCAAGCGAAATTAAATGTCATTGCGAAATTGTGGAAATTTTTCCTGAAAGAAATAACAATTACTAAATTATAATCAAATAGTTAACGAAATAAACAAAAGGCATCACTCAATAAGTCTCCGGTCTGACACATATATGTCAGCACTATTGACAGATCATAACCATTTCTAGATAGTATTAACTTTGAAACGGCACGTGTCAAAATTTCACGACATTCCGATCATTAGTTAAATTCCTTATTCGTATACAGAGAATCAACATATAAACTTGCTCATTAATACCAGAATTACTAAATACGTCAAACTGATATTTTGGAAAGCAGTTTCTTTTCTACTGTTATTTGCATTTATTAAAATAAATTGGAAAAAAATCGCACCGTTAATTGTGAGCGGACTATAATGACGATAAGGATGATTTTGTATTGCATTTGAAAAAAGTTTTGATGAATATCTGCGTCACATTTATCATAGTTAAAAAGTCATCAAATATGGACGAAAAGCTTTTTTAAAAATTCCCAAAACTGAACCCCCGACATTTTTAAATTTCTCGCTTACAGATGTTCTAGCTTCCAAGCATCTATCAGTTTATGAATACATTTTTATTTCCATTTCTTCGCAGATTAGTTTTGACGGACTGAACTAATGAGAAAGAAAAGAAACTAAGTGGGTAGTTAGTTAGTGGGCAGATTGAACAAATGACAGTAAAGACCTAGTCCATTATTTAAAGGTAAGAATTTTAAAAACATGAATTTTTTAAAACGGTACGTTATGAGCGATTTCTACTCCAAAGTAAGTAAAGACGACAAGATTTTATGTAGAGAAGCAAAATGCAACAAAAAAAAAAGAACTTCATCACCCTATAATGTTGAATAGGGGCAGATTGATCCATAGAATAGATGTTGCATCTGTTATATTTTATGAATAAAGCGTAGAGAGAAACTCAATGTTTTTGCTTTCGAAAATAGAGATGTTCTCAAATTATGCTCCATTATGCGGCCGTGTCGTTTGACCGGTTCCCAATGTCAAATGGCGGGTAAGAACTTCCAACTGAACTGAAAACAATATCTTCAAATTTGCGTCCGTGATAAGTTTTATCACAGTCGCAACACTGATGGACAGATATGTATATTTCTTGGGAGGTTTTCAAAGCTTCCTTCTAAGAATTGCAAAAAGACTATACTTCTTTCTTCGGTGGGAGGTATCAACAAAATAGGCAATTGAACCAGGGGTCGTTTTGCGGCTCGCGCAAGCTCACACAATACACACATTTACGATATTACAAAAATTCCATTATATATACAACGAGCGCGAGAGAGGCCCAATTCGACACAAAGCAATCGGGAGCCATCAATCCAAAATGCGATCCTATCGCTTTTGTCTTTCGTATCGTACAACAGCTCGTTAGCGACAACCGTAAGCTGAGCCAAGGTTCATTTTTGTTACACAAATATTTTAAAAAAATTTGAATTTTTACTCTACTTTTTGAGAAAAAATTTTTGATTTGGAGAAGTATCGAAAGGCAAATGTTAGCACAAAAATTCTCCATAAAAACATTCGACAATCGTTTAGTTTTTACATTTCGTAATAGAAAATTGAAGAGAAATTATTTCTAAGGAATTTCCGGAACCGTTGAGTTTGATATTTTGTGGATTTCGAAAGCATAAATTAAATTCAAGTGGGAACAAAAGTCGCAAATAGACACAAAAGAACGAAGAAAATGGTAGCAATTGGTATTGATTTGGGAACAACATATTCGTGCGTTGGCGTATTTCAAAACGGCAAAGTGGAAATCATCGCTGATGATCAAGGTAATCGCACAACACCTAGTTACGTGGCATTTACGGACACGGAACGCCTCATTGGTGATGCAGCAAAAAATCAGGGCGCCAAGAATCCAAGGAATACAATTTATGATATAAAACGTCTGATTGGTCGCAAATATGATGATTCACAAATTCAAGAAGATATGAAACATTGGCCGTTCAAAGTGATTAGCGAAGGCGGGGAAGCGAAAATTTGGGTAGAATTCAAGGGAGAACGAAAACGTTTTGCTCCAGAAGAAATTAGTTCTATGATATTAACAACGATGAAAGAAATAGCCGAAGCCTACTTAGGTCACACAGTCAAAGACGCGGTAGTCTCGGTACCAGCGTATTTCAACGATTCGCAGCGACAAGCGACGAAGAATGCCGGTGCAATTGCTGATCTGAATGTATTGGGAATTATCAATGAACCTATTTCTGCGGTTTTAGCGTATGGCTTAGATAAGAATTTGAAGGGCGAGCGTAACGTGTTAATATTCGATTTAGGTGGCGGTACTTTCGATGTATCCATATTAACTATTGATCAAGATTCATTATTCGAGGTGCGAGCAACTGCTGGCAACACATATCTGGGTGGCGAGGATTTCGATAATCGATTAGTTAATCATTTCGTGGATGAGTTTCGGCGAAAGTACCATATGGATTTAAAATCGAATCGTCGCGCTTTGCGTCGTCTACGTACAGTAGCTGAATGCGCTAAACGCACTTTGTCATCGACTACCGAAACACCGATTAAAGTCGATGGTCTTTTCGCTGGCATAGACTTTTATACGAAAGTGAGTAGGGCGCAATTCGAAGAACTCTGTGCCGACTTATTTTGCCAAACATTAATAGCCGTAGAAAAGGCACTTAACGAGGCTAAAATGGATAAAAACGAAATTGACGACATTGTATTGGTAGGTGGTTCGACACGTATTCCCAAAGTGCAGAATCTCTTGCAGCAGTTTTTCTATGGTAAAAAGCTTAATATGTCTATTAATCCCGAAGAGGCTGTGGCATGTGGCGCAGCTATTCAAGCGGCAATACTGAATGGTAATACAAACGACAACATACAAGACGTGCCCTTAGCGGATGCGTCGCCACCATCGCTTGGCATGGAAACTGCTGACGGTGTCATGACAAAAATAATTGAACGTAATAATCATATACTTGGTCAGCAATATACACTTGCTGGCGATCAGCCGGCAGTTACCATTCAAATGTTTGAAGATGAACGAGCTATGACCAAAGAAAATAATTTATTGGGCGTAGTTAATTTAACGGGCTTGCCATCAGGCCCTCGAGATATACCAAAGTTAAATGTAACCTTTGATCTCGACGCCAAGTGTATATTAAATGTAATAGCGAAGGAGACAAGTAGTGGTATTCTTAAGAAGATTACTATAAATAACGATAGGAATCGCTTATCACAGGCCGAAATCGATCGAATGGTTCGCAAGGCCGAACATGCTGATGAAGGCGAGAACGACCGTCATCGCAACGAAGCTCGTAATCAGTTGGAAAATGGCGAAATTAATGTTAAGCAAACAGTCAAAGACACCGGCGAAAAAGTATCCTCGTCCGACAGAAGCCATTTAATGAGTGAATGTAACGTAACTGCCAAATGGTTGGATAAAAATATGACGACCGAAAAAGAAGAGTATGAATATCACTTGAAAGAGTTAAGCAAAATATGCGAACCAATAAGCCCACGAGCATATCAGCAAACTTGTTCTATTCAGTGTAATCAATAGGGCGGTGGTTCCGGTGACGGCAGCTATAAAGGGCCTGCGACAGAAGGAATTGACTGAAATGCTGTTTGCAAATACGCCCCAATCGAGCAAAAAATATATTATTTTGTATATTTTTGCGAGAAGACTCTTATTTCGTTTTCTCTATATATCTATATATTTTTTTTTTACTTAAATTTTAGTAAAGATCCGTTTGTAAATAAAATCTTTGTGTATTCAAAATGAAACGTTTTACATAAACCGTCAATTGACTTGATGAGTTTATTTAACAGATTCTTTTTCCGCCCATTCCGTCCATGAGCCCAAATAGTTCTTCACATTTCGATAACCTAGTTGTTGAGCTATTTCGGCAGCGTTATGAGAACGTCGACCAACTTTGCAATGGAAAATTAATTCAGTATCGATTTTTGGTTTATCGCGGCCATACTTAGTTTTAAACATACTATCGTCGCCATCCGGATGTAATTCCTGCGCGACTACGCCTAACGGTATATTAATGCTAGTCGGTATTTGTCCTGTTTCACGTAATTCATTTGGTTCTCGAACATCGATTAATAATTTTTCAGGATGTTTAGGTAATTCTTTGATATCCTTATATTCAACTAATTGTATACTCGCTGAAGATGAGAAATTTTTTATAAGATTAGGCGTAGAGTCGGTTGCTAAATCTGACAGGAGTTTATTATTAACGGTTAAAGGTTTACTAATAGATGCTGATACGTTCGAGAATTTTAAAATTTGTAAACTATTAATCGTCAGTAAAGTTAAACGTTTCCAAACAGAATTAGAAGCCATCGCTAAATAATAGAAAGAGAAAATTAATTTACTTTTTAAATGAATAACAAATATTATATAATCACTTGCCGGTTGGAAATAAAGTCTAATAGTCCTTAAGTATATGAACCAGTAGTCGACGAAATAAAACAAAATGTATTGCGATTGTATTGCTTTATCAGATGTTTTAGAATGAATGCTTTTATTATCATTTATCGCCCACGGTTGCCAAATTTGTTCAATTATGGTGCAATAATTTATTACATAAATCGTTAAATCATTTATTTGAAGCATTCTTGTTTTATCCAGTCATTCCAGGATCCTTTATATAATTTCACATTCTTATAACCGATTCTTATTGCCTGTTCGGCGGCCTTTTGAGCCCTCCTTCCCTCTACACAATGAAAAATTAAAAAGCTATTAAAGTCCGGTTTTTCACGAGCATACTTTTTCCGAAATTCATCTTTATCCGAATTTCTTGCTAATGCTTTAAACAATTTGTTCAGCGGTATGTTGACGCTGGTAGGTATTCTGCCGGTTGAAAATATCTCTTCGGGTTCTCTCACATCTATTAATATTTTTTCAGGTTTATAAGGCAATTCTTTGATTTCTTTGTAATCAGCTAATCCGATCGTTCCATCGCCTTTAGTAGGTAGACCACGTTTTTGATTGTCGAGGTGCCGATGCAAATAAGGATAAAGTAAATAGGGAAAGTGACTCCTTAAACTCAATTCATTTGTTAGAGTTGGATTGCGTAAGAAGTGTCGCAATAACAACCTGTTAGTCATTGTTAATTCAGATGGACTTGTGCTAATCTAAAATTATATGGATTTTATTAAATAAAAAAATATATGTATATATAATATGTAAACCCTCATGACAGCATAATCTTGAGAGATTTATAAAACGGTACTAGAGAGTTTTGATCCCACTTATGAAGCTTTAGCTGTGGACTACAAAATTTTCGTACATTAAACAAAATCATGCAAAAAGGATTTAAAAAAGGAATTGCACAGAGAAGGTTGCCCTAAGGATCTTTTCGTAATGTACGCTAGTAATTGAAAAAAGAACGGCACATTCTTGCAAATATGAAATTGACCAAAGACCACGTCATTATCCAATGTATTAATGTCCAAAAATCTGTTAAAGACGTTATAGGAACTGCTTTGCCACCTAATGCCTAACCTAAGGCTATATACTTAAATTCGGAAGGATTATTCAAAATCGACGCGAGATACAGAAACTTCACAGGATCTTTTAAGCTCAATAAATTTTATCACATCAAGAGGTAAGATGATGTCATTACATTTTTTTATTTCTGATAATTACTTACGTCTTTTGGCTTTTCAGTTATGGTTATAGCTGCAGTTATAGGTCGCGGTTGCTTATATGTCCCAATGTCGTTAGTGGGCCCCGTGTAATTTACTTTTACAGGTAATTTATGCCTAGAGTAAAACGCTTTCGCGTTATCCAATTTTTTATTTTTATTTCTTTTTAATAGTTCTATTATATTTTTTAATTTCCCAAAGAATTTTTTTTCTAAATTCGTTTTATTAATCAATTGTCGGATATCTGAATTTTTTCTATCAGTCATTTGCCGATTGTCGTTTATGTAACTGTCGGCAACAGCGTAATCGTTCGCACAATCAATATTCGAGAGGGTTAATTGAAAGGAATATATCGAGAAAAATATGAATATAATAAAGACTTTCATCTGTATTTATGATAGAATAAAATACTAATAAATATATTATTCGAAATTATATTTAATTTTTATTCGCTTTCATTTGATATGATTGAAAAAAAGAAAGCAAGTGGTTTACGTAGATTCAATTAAAAAAATAAGTAAAAAGATTATGGTCAGACAAGCAGTATTAAATACCCTATACAAATTCGATTGCGATAAAGCAATTCTTTCCTCCAACTAAAGACGCATTTTTCATGGGAGGCGGCTTGACACGTGAACGAACGTCGTTCAAATATAGCAAAATCAATTTTTTAAAGAGGTCTAATGATTCCCTTTATCGCTTTTGGTTTCAGGGTATGGGGAGGATCGTAATACCAAAAAATATTTGAGATAAGTCGACCGATCGATTAGAATTGTTTTCTGAATCGATTAAAGCTTGTCTATCCGTCTGCCCATTTGGACTTTTGTTCAATCTACAGATCGCAATTTTCGAGATATTTTGATGAAATTTGTCACGTTGTCCCGTGCCCACGTGCTTTCTCCCAAGAAAGAGCGCCATTCAAATTGGTAAAGTTTTTTAACCCTTTGCCGTGTAGACGTTCCCACATAAACTGAAAGGCCTAGTATTTAATATTTCTTGATGAAAATTCGTTTGTAACAATAATTTGACATAAAAGTTAACCTTATCGAATTTGGACCACGCAAATCCACATAAGGCCTTCTATGCCAAAAAGATTTATGATGGAAATTTGTCTTTAGTGAATCAACCTAAGGATCTATTTTTCAGACCGCACCATATTACACCAAGAAAATTTACACCAAAAATTTCTAAGAAAAACTCTTCTGATTTAAATTTCAAGAAAATCATAATTCAATCCAATAAATACATATATTACGGGGTTCTCATAAAAGCAAACCCTTCTATGCCGACAAAAGCTATTTTGTATGCGAAATCAATAGGATTATAATAAAAGCCTCGGCAAGTATATTCAGTTTAGCAAATTTAGACCATATTGACGCTTGAATAGCCCTCCAAAGTAAAGGCTTTCATAAAAATGATGCATTTCTTGCATGGCGTAAGGTGTGTAAGGTATCTAATGGCCATCCTTTCTCAACTATAGCATTCTTATTTCTTTCAGTTACTTATGCCATAAAGTACTAAGAATCTTAATCTTTTGCCATGTAATGGTTTACTTTTCATGAGGCAGAATTTTCCTGTTAATAATAATAACAATTGCGTTATATGCGCTACTTAAAAAAATAGTGTATGATATATTTACTTAATCCTCCAGATAATTTATATACTATACTTGAATGGTAACTTTTAGAATTAATTTCTAAAATAATACTCTATGTAAGTCAAATTTACCTTACATTTGTACCAAAGTCTCTTATCGTCACCACCGATAATACTCGATCCAGATACTGTACATTTCCATGTATTTCCATGCTGATGATGATTGTAAATAATTTTAGGCAACTCTAGCTTATGTTTAATTTTCACACAATAGATGCATAAGTGCCTGATATCAGCAAAATCTAGTGGCAGAAGTTTTCCTCGCCGCTCTTGATGCTTCCACGTTTAAATCAAACTTAGGCAAACACTATTCTCTCCTCCCATTCTTCTCACCTCAAAAACCTTCCTGACATCCCAAAGAAACAGAATTTCCCGAGATTCAATAATCATTTATGGGTTAGTGATTAAAACCTCACACAACAGAAATAAGCTATAATCGATCCCTTAGCGGACTTATTGTAATAAAAGAAAGTATATAATTTTTATACATTCGATTTAAAGAGTTGGGAAATGACATCAAAACTTCAATGTTTTGATATTGCTTTCAAAAGATTTTTAAAAATGTTCATCGGCCATCTTCTCTGATCAAAAACTGAAAATTTATAAAAAGATAAAAGTCCGTGAAAAACTTATGATTAAAAATTTTTTATTATAAGAAAGTCTATGGGCATGTAACAAATTTGGAAATTTAATAATCCTTTCAATCAACATTTCTTTCAGCAACAATCGTTTTAATTAAAAAAAAAAGAAAAATGTCTCTGTTATGTATTTATGGAAGGCTTAAAAAACAGGTCTTTTAAATCCATTCATCATATCAAATAATCGGAATATGGCACCAATAACTAAAAGTGTTCTTTTAAGATCATTTGTCCCCGACTTGCGAAGAAAATGATAAATTACTAAGTAAAACTTGTTGAAACGCCTAAATACATACTAAAAAATCCTTGTAACAGTCAAAAATCTATTGAATATATTAACTAAAACTATTAGGAAATTAAAATTATTAATAGTTCCTCTCTCCTAAAATATAATATAATAAACGAAATTCGCTATAACTGGCATTGTGCATATTCAGCTCAGGATTCTCTCATTTTATTTATTTTTTTTTTTTTCTCATATTGGCTCTTTTTCACATATGGCAAACATTTTTTATTGCTATATGGAGGTTGGGCATCATCGTAAACAACTCTATGGAACTATCGTAAAAATCACATTTTATTTTGCATTCACACACTCACACTAAAATTGTGAGATTCAAGCCTGAGTTTAAATATATGTCTTTTTCGACAATTAATAATAATTGAATCTAAACCCGTTTTCCTTTCATTTGAGTATACGTCCTAAGGATTGGCCAACTTTAACGTTTTGCCCAGGTTTCACTTTAAATTCGAAACCTAAAGGCGCCTCAAACAGTAAAACAATCGTACTTCCCATATTAAATTGTCCAACTAAATCACCTTTTTTAAAAAGGTGCCCATCATCTATAGTCATATCGTAGAAGTTCCGCGGTGTCCTAATGTCTAAACCTGCCCATTGATTAGTTTTCAAATCAGAGTCCATGAAAATTTGCACTGATCCAACATTAGTGGCACCAACAGCGGTAAAACTAAAGAAACCGTGCTCCCATTCGCCTACATACAAAACCCTTTCATTTAGACAGAATAATCCAGGAAGCCATGTAGCAATTCTAGGACTTACGGAGAATAATTCACCCGTAAAATGCCTTCTAAAGAACGAATCCCAGTCGGTTGGTGAATGAAACCTATGATAATCTCCGGGCGCTAAGTATATTACAACATGATACAACATTGTGCTGCCGTTTGTCGCGTACTTAAGCGCGTTCATATAATTGCTATTCTGCTTGCTCTCTCTCAACCAAGTAGTCGGACCGAGAAAATCGGCAATATTGTAGTTCACGCCTTTGACCTGTTCAATCAAAGATCGAAAAGCTTTACCAAGGTGCAGAATTTTACCATCAGCTGGGGATACTAACGGGGCAACCGAATCAATTGGTCTCACGCCGTCACGTAAAGGCCGTGTAAAGAATTCAGCGAAGGTTTTGTAATGTTTTAAATCCGTATATAAAGCCTCCTCCAGATTGACCTTAAAAGTGTTGATATATAGACCAAATATAAATGGCCGCACACTTTCTGGTATATAACATGAAGCCAACCAACCCCAGCAGCGACTTATTAAACGCAACGGTAGTAAACTGTATATTTTGGATTGAAATTCCGTCGCCGTATGAAGTGTTCGATTTTTTATACAATTTTGCTTGTTTATTTGCCATTCGATCGCACCAAAAACACATATACCCACTGGCGCCCATTTCAGAAGAAAACCTGTCCATCTTCGCAAAGCATTGCGGCGGTCCTGTTGTAATCCTTGTTGTTTATTCAAATGAATTGAATGCGTTGGACTAAGAGATGGCTTAACACGCACCATACCACGAACGGTGACTTCTGTCTGTTTTGTGTTGTGATCGCCACCATTTCCAATTTTCTGCGAAAAGTTTTGACGAAAATTTCTTAATGCAGGCCATTTGCTTTCTTGTTGATTATGTTTCTGACGTAACTGGCGAAAATTTGGCGGTTTAATAAGGAAACGACCGCGAGGCATAAAGTAGGAGACCATGATATATTAATAAAATAAACGCAACCAATTTTGATAACGTAATCTTGACCGCTTATGCGTACACACAAAAAAAGTTTTATCAATGCGCAGCTTCTTGGATTCAACGCCGAAACGCGTATACTTGCTGAAATATTTAAAAATTAATCAAAATTATTTTATAGCTTATGTACGTTAAAGCTTACGTACGGACAGTTCGGCTTAATCTAAACAAATTTTCGGTAATTTTTTTCAGCTAAGCGCTTACTTTTCTCGTTTATGCTGTTATAAATGGTTCGTTATCGTTGTTGGTAGATAAAGCGGTAATTTCAATGCCGTATTATCAGCCGCATTTTCTTCTTTTCTTTTTTTAATGAGATATGCTTCTAAGCCGTAAATGTTTTCTGTCTGATTACTTTTTTTAATGATTCCTATACATAAGTTTCTAACTTTTATATAATTAATAAATAATCGGTAGATAGCTTATGTTTTTATGAAATCCAATCAATTTTTAAGTCACATCCACCACTTCTGCTTCAAATGCTGGTCAATGTTTTCAATGAATTTCCACTTTTTTGTATGTTTCCAATTATCACATGTAATTGAAATGTTAACATGTTAAACCTTTGTCATGAAATGAAGAAGAAGAACAACAAATTATAGTTTTCTGTTAAAAGTTCTACAGTTTCTGCTGGTCAAATATAATTGCAATCATATGTTGAGAGTGAGGCTAATTTTTCACCGGATGGTCATAGTATATTGAGCGCTTCATCGGACGGCACCGTAAAAATATAGTCCTTAAAGGAACATGAAATGCTTATCTACCTATAAACCTACCCTGCCGACATGGCAACAGCGGGTCCTCATCTAGGTCCAATGTTACCCTTCGCGGTTCGCAAGTAGTGGACAAGCGCAGGTTTTATTTCATCGCATAATGGGGAAAACTCTAACATTGACTATAAGTAAGTAGCAGAGAGAGTTCGGATTTTTTGTCGTATAATAGGTTTATTTTTTAGTTCCATGCCACAGAAATTATAAAAACGTAGCTTCCACAAAGCCCACGCAACGTTTTTACATGGCTTTGTCATGAAGAAGAAGAACATTGTTCATCTGTTCATAGTTTTCTTTTAAAAGTCTAGAGTTGCCTGCATGCATTTTCAGGGGTCTTTGTCAATAATAAAGACAATATCTGTTAAAAATAATCAACAAAAATAAAGGCAAGATCTGTTAAAAATATCAATATATATAGCAAGAGTAGTCTAGAGATACCTATCAAATTGGTACATTCTAAAAACCTCCTTGTTGTCCTAATGCAGTAAATTTCTGAACAATTTTTTCGGTAACAAGGTAAAACTAAAACACAAAATTTCTATAATTCGGAATTTTAATAACTGGAAAATATATAGGAAAGTTAAAAGCGGTTCTTATGGAAGTAACTTCGTCTACGCCGAGCAGCGCAGCAACAGCATTAGATATTTTATTAGAAAATTCAATCGAACGGTATATATGCTCGGGTAAGTACTAAAGAATGGCCATAGATTAAAAATGTTTTTAAAAGGAGTGAAATAAAGGAAATTCACATGTCGAACGTAAGAATTTGAAAAAATATACGAAAAGTTTGTTTTCTATCTCCTTGGGTCGTATTGATTTTATTCTTTCTTAGAAAATATGCTGCAATAGGCTCATTTCGATCCTCGTGAAACTTATCTAGAAGGTAGTGCGAGGATAAACGACGTGCAATTATTGCTCAAGAGTTGATTGATGAAGTGCTCGTGATACTTCGTGAACGTCTTCTCGCGTTTTGGCTTTATTGGATCAAGCATTGAAATGGTAACAGGATCAGGGCTTATTACCTTCTCGGCACCACAATAGACATATTCGGGGCAAAACGGCGATGAAAAATCGAGAAGAGGAAATGTATCCTACCCAAACTCGAACAAAAATACCATGTGGAATGTACTCAATTTTTGCCTGATGGATAACATCTAATTACGGGCAGCGTTGACGTTTTTTAGAGATGTGGAATTTACAAAAGGGGGGGTTTGAAAAGATTTAAAATATCAGGCACAAGATCAATTTATGATGATAGAATAGGCAGTTTTGGATTTATCATTCTCAAGACGTTCCGAAATGATGCCATTTGGCTCTCAGGATGGCCAAATAAAAGTCCAGCGCATTATAACTGGGCAACGTTTAAGAAAATTTGAAAAAGCTCACACGAAACGCATAACCAACATTGCAATTTTCACGTGACAATAGGAAGATATTAAGCGCTTCCTTCGATTCCACCTTTCTTCTATCTGCATGGCTTAAAATCGAATAAAACATCTTCAAAGGTCACAATCGACAGGTCTCCTTTTCTGGTAAATTGTGTAATTCTAAAGGGTAATTCTAACTCCTATTCTAAGCCTATTTTTATGAAAGTTGAAAAGACAGATATTTAAATTAAATTAATTTTAACAGAGAAATAAGAACAAACCTATTTATTGTGGGGAATGCTAATGCGTATGCGAAAAAATAAATTGTATGCCCCTCTACTTTTCGTTGGTTAGTGTAAAAAATAACGGGCAACTTATGAAGCAAACATGATCCATTAAACTAGAACATTGCATCAACCGAATTTAGCCGTTATGTTTTTTGATACTTCTCTATTTTGGTAGATGTTGGAGACTGTTTAAATTACGTTAATCGAAATTCCAGCAAAGTCATATGATGCTGAAAAAATTGAACATATGGTTTTGTTTGTTTACATTATATAGCATTGCTTCAGTATTTGAAATTAATCGACTCTTTTGCATCCTTATCTTTCATAGTAAAAACAAAAAAAAAAAAACAAAGAGAAAATCTGTTTACAACAAAAGAAAGAGAAATTGAAAAATAATATATAAAATACGTTTCCGTAGGACAATGGATAAGCCCGTATCATTTGCATGCCAAAGATGTTTACGACCAATAGTATTAGATGAAAATTTCGACACAATAAGTGAACATACAAAGGCTGAATTGATGTGTAAGCTCAAATTGATTTCGTGGATATGTTCAAAATTGTGAAATAAAATGCATTATTATGATTTCGATTCGCGATAGTACCCATTTATGATGGCAATGTCAATACGATAGATACTCAAGACACAAGCAGCTTTGATCATTTTGTACCCCCTTATCGTTTGATGGACTCAATTAATGGCACAGGATTTATGTTAGTTTCCGATCGCAGGGATAATAAAAAGTGGAGTGCTGCGTTTAAATTGAAAGCAGAACTATTTGATTTTCTTTCATCGAATTCAGAAATAGATCATCCGCTTTGTGAAGAATGTGCCGAATCTATGCTAGAAATTATGGATAGAGAATTAAAAGTAGCAGAAGAAGAATGGAGTGATTACAAAAATTATTTGAAAAAATTAGAACAGCAACAAAAACTTCCGAACGTAACAGAATTGGAAAAAGAATTAAATGAACTAAAAGAAAGTGAACAAAAGCTTCTGGCAGAACTGTCTGCGTTGAAAGACGAAGAAAATGCTTTAAATCAATCAATTGAGCAGGAAGAGAAAGAAAAACGAGAATTGCAAGAACAGGAAGCTAGTTATTGGCGTGAATATACCAAACATAGAAGAGAGCTAATGTTGACCGAAGATGATAAGCGTAGTTTAGAGTGCCAAATAGCTTATGCCGAGCAACAATTAGAAAAATTGAAAGACGCGAACATATTTAACATAACATTTCACATATGGCATGCTGGACACTTTGGCACTATTAACAATTTCCGTTTGGGCCGTTTACCATCAGGTGATTATAAAAAATGATTTTTTTTGGATTTTCTTTAAGATATTACCACTCGGATTAACAGAGATTATAATTACACTTTTATGTTTAAAAGAAATATATATATATTTGATTAATTTCTTCTTCTTTTTGCTCTTCTCTTCCTTTTATTGTTCATAATAAATGTATGTTTATATCAGCTTCAGTAGACTGGTCGGAAATTAATGCAGCTTGGGGACAAACAGTTTTATTGTTGTGTGCATTAGCTCGCAAGATTGGGCTGACATTTGAACGTTATAAAATAGTTCCTTTCGGAAATCATTCTTATGTTGAAGTTTTAAATGAGAACAAAGAGTTACCTTTATATGGAACAGGGGGATTTAAATTTTTTTGGGACACAAAATTTGATGCAGCTATGGTAGCCTTTTTGGATTGCCTTACACAATTTCAACAAGAAGTAGAAAAAAGAGATCCAGAATTTTTGCTGCCTTACAAGATGGAAAAAGGAAAAGTTATTGATCCATCCACAGGAACGTCGTATTCCATAAAGTAAGTTCGTTCCTTTTATGTTTATTTATTACTAATTTCTTCTTTCTTTAGAATACAGTTCAATTCTGAAGAACAGTGGACAAAAGCCTTGAAATTTATGCTAACCAATCTGAAATGGGGTTTAGCCTGGGTGTCTTCACAATTCGCCAGTCAGTAAAACAATAAGCTTTGTTCGGTTTTAGTTTATTTAAAATATAAATGGCATTAAATGTTCATATGCCAACGGAAGGTGATGGTAATTTTTCATTTTTACAATTTGCCAATTTGCTAAGAGTACAATCCTTTGAAGAGCAAGGTGTACCATCCTCCAATTTGGGCGGGTTAGCATCGCTAGCTGAGTCGACATCGCTTGCATCTGATCCGCTCGAAAACTCTTCGTCCATCCATAGAGCAGATCTCTTCTTCTTTGTTACGACGTCATTCCTAGCTATCGTCTCATTTTTACGTTTTAGATCTTGGCCACTTGCCAGAGATCTTTTAAAACCCTCTTCGACAGCGTCGTTCACTTTTTCTGTTAATTTCGACCGAGCTTCTTCGTACTCTTCGTCTTTAAACTCATGTTTAGGTACAGCGAGTAATTTTTGAATTTTACGCTTTTTCTTCTCTTCAGCTTCACGTTCTCGCTCACTTTGTTTTTCCAGCCATGTTTTAAGCCGCTTTTCTTCATTTATGTCTCGTAAACGACGACCACTTAGATCTCGACAAGCTTCACGGTTTGTGGTTTTTTCTATTTGCGCACCTATTGCTCGCAGCATAGAACCAAACCCGCCTTTGCCTCCAACGAGGCGAGGACGACAATACACCGGTAATTCATATCCCACATGATCTTTTAATCGCTTCCCATTTTGTTCTAAATAAAAATCTGAATTGTTCTAAAGAAAAATAATTTAATGTTTTTTTTTCGTTTTCCCCTTTTTATTCAAACACTTACGATTTGCTTGGCAACTGTCTGAACCAATTCTTTTACATTTTCTGATGTACTTTCGCAGAGTTTCTCTTTATTTAAATATATTTGAACCATTATTATTACGCTTAAACAATTTCGTCAACTTTATGCGGATATGATCAATAATTTAATATTAGCGTTACCAGTTGCATATGGTTTCAATAATTAGAGATGTGAGTTTAAGACAATTTAATATGAAAACATTGGAAAAAGTGCTTTTTTCAACACTGTAAACAATGTAATGTTGTTTTGTAGAATTCCAGAACAAGAAGAAAGCGACGTTTAATAAAGATTATGGTTCCACCATATTTTCTTTTTGTTGAATAAATACAATAAAGTAAGGGATTGAAAGAAACACAAACTAAAGCAATGTCTTCCTCTGAAGATTCGAACAATGAGATTGATGAAGAAATCGACGAAAGGGCAAGTGCTTAAATGAATGTTTCGATTTCTTATTATTGTAATTAACCCATCTTTTTTATTTTATATATTACAGAAACTAATCCGCCAGGATTTAAGTTCGATGAGTTTTGAGGAGATCATGAAACTTAAAGAAGAATTGGGAGCCAAACTTTATAAAGAAGCAATTTTGGGTATTGAGAAACCAAAAACCTCGAGGAACCAAAAAAATGCGAAGGATTTGAAAAGGCTTAATAAAAATAGGCCTCGTGAACAAAGTTCTAAGAGGCCAGTGCCCTTTCTTGGAGCAGAATTGCGTGGGAAAAGTAAAAATGATTTACAATTACGTGATCCTCGTTTTGACGAAAGAGCCGGAAATTATGATGTAAATAAATTCAAGGAGAATTATAAATTTGTCAGCAGTATACGAGAAAGTGAAATCCTTGAATTGAAAAGCGAACTAAATCGCGTTACTGATCAAGAAGAAAAAGATCGCATAAAAAAAGTGATGCAAAGATTGGTTAACAAAAATGTAGAAGAAAACAAATGGCATAAAAAGCAACAAACGTTGAAAGAAGAACAACAGGAAATACAAAAGGCTATAGCAGAAGGAAAGAAACCTCACTATTTAACAAAGAGTAAGTTTATGAATGTATCGTTTTTAAGCATATAGATCTTTAAAACATGCATTTATTTCCAGAGGAGAGAAATGCAAAAGAACTAGTGGCTCAATTTGAAGAGCTCAAAAAGCACGGGAAGTTAACGAAACATCTGGAAAAGCGCCGTAAAAAGAACATTGCCAAAGATCGCAAAAAAATGAATTTCGCTTAAAAACTTTTATACTCTTATGCAGTAATAAATTTACATTTTTAAATTTTAATCTTAAGCAGTACGTAACATTTTCGCTTCACGTTTTTCTTGTAGCTCTTTTCTCTGAGCATCTACAACAGCACGTCGCTCGTCCAGAAAATTTGCATAGTCTTCAGCCTTAAGTTCACGCACAATTTGAATCCCGCAAGTACGAGCGATCCCCACTAACATTTCACACATTTGCTAAAAAAAAGTTTTAAGCGAGTCACTTATCTTAAATATACACAAACATTACGTATACATATATACCAATGTATATATATATATACACATAAATTTTAATACTATGTATAATATTCAATTGAAAGCACATTAAAAATTTTCAAAGGATGTTATTAACGGTATGTCAAAGTTGTGTAATTATCTGCAACGTGTAGAAAGATTTTTGGAAATAGTCTAGGTCGTAAAACCCTATTGAAAATGGCTTGGATTGGTATGCAACACCTTATTTTGAAAGAATTTCTCGAGGAAAGTCTTAGAGGATTTTTGTAAATATTTTATGGATCAATATTTACGTTAAATATTAGGTTATTATTTCATTTTCTTTGCAAACGGATCACATTCAATTTGAAACTTAATTCCATTTTTTGAGACGACGTGAGTGTTAAACGCAGACGAATGAATCTAGACCTTGAACATTTTTGGCACAATAACCATATGTATTTTGGAGCTTCTTAAGTGCATTTGTGGGTCAAGCAAGTCTAGTCGATGATAGATAGGAAAATTTTAAATAATATACCTGCATAGTTAATAATGCATTGGGTGGATCCTGAATTTTTATAGCCGCTATTTCATACAAATGCTTTAAGGTAATCTTTCCGGCTGTTTCTTTTCCTGGATACATTGCTCCTCTCGGAATACCAGCAGCTTGCTTCAAGAGAAATGTCGCTGGTGGCGAATGTATCGTTAAATTATAACTGCGGTCACTATTAACTGTTACTCTGCAAGGTAGCGGTATACCTTCCTTAATTTCAGCGGTACGTGCATTAAAGTCTTTGCAGAAGGCCGCAATGTTGATTGCGCGCTAATAAACTTTTATTAGACATAATGTATTTAAGAATTTTTATTTTGCATTTACTTGACCTAACATTGGACCTAGAGGAGGACCCGCTGCTGCCATGCCGGCTGGTATATTTGTCTTTAATTTCGTGGTATGCGTTACTTTATCCACAGTCTTTTTCAGATTTTTCAATTTACTGACCGCCTTCGACATAGTTTTACACCAATTTATCGCAAATCTATTTTATAAAATGTGCTATATATTGGTTATGCAAATTATAACAACTTAACGAACAGTGCTGGACAGCGTTTACAGTTTGCTTTTTGAACGGTAGTGTTAATAATATTCTTATTCTTTTTTTATCGATAACAATGTTTACAACGGCATCGTCCCCGTGCATCAATTTGTAAAAACTATTAAGGGTTGAAAAAAAAAATGTTAAGTCAGATTTTTGTAACCTTTTTAACTTAAATTTTAGTGTCTTAAATATAAGAAAGAAACGACGTCTAAAATATTTACAGATTTGTTAAAACAATGCCGACCATGAGTAAAATGGAATAAATTTAAGTCTGACAAAGAAAAAACTCAATAAAAGTAATTATAATAAAGACCCGAAACATAGACTATTTAAAGGAAAATATATTTGTCGATGGTGCGTAATAAAACTCAATCAACCTCATCATCGTCTTCAAGCGGAAATGCGAGCAACAACAGCAGCACGAAATCTCCCATAAGACAAAATATTCATCGTAAGTCTTCAAGCACTTGCAGCGTAGCCCTTTTAGACGACGTCAAACCAACAGTTTCAAGCCGTCGTTCGCCAGGGTCCTCTCCAGACGATGATACCGATGCTGACTACGATTCATCGCCTACTTCTCAACGTTCTACATTTAGCTCCGTACATAAGCAGAATCTATATCTTGTTTCATTTCCCATTATATTTCTATTTAATATTCTACGTACACTGATCTATCAGCTGTTTTGCGTCTTTCGCTACTTGTACGGAGCTAGTACAAAAGTTATCTATCGTCCACATAAACGCGAATGTAATATTGAGATAGTTGTAGGCGCTTCATCATCGCAAAATTCGGGCTTGAAGGAAAAGAATCAATTGCTCGAACAAGCGCACAGCACAACAAACACAGTAGCTCCGTACCCCTTACCGCAGCGCATGCGACCACAACAACAATTAGAAATGTTTAATAAAAACAACGCAGTAGCTAGCAGTTCCGGACCCGGACCTGGTGATCCTCTTTTGGCTAAACAGAAGCATCACCATCGTCGTGCTTTTGAATACATATCGAAAGCCTTGAAAATCGATGAAGAAAACGAAGGTGAGTTAGTCGTTGTGTTGCGGAATAAACAAAATAATGACTCACTTCTTGTTATTTAGTTGATTTACGTTTGATATTGATAGGACATGAAAATCAATATAAGGAAACTTGTGCTAAGCAAACTTATGCACAGAGTTTAAAAATATTTAATGGATTTTCGTTTGCTTTTTAGGTCATAAAGAACTCGCTATTGAATTGTATCGTAAAGGCATTAAAGAATTAGAGGATGGTATTGCTGTGGATTGTTGGAGCGGACGCGGAGAAGTATGGGAACGTGCTCAACGATTGCATGATAAAATGCAAACGAATCTGTCAATGGCTAGAGATCGCTTGCATTTTCTAGGTAAATATGATTTAATATTAGCTTTAAGTGAAACTTAAAACTATATATGTAATTTTTAATTGGTTTTAGTTTATCGTTTGCAAATTTGTAAAGAATTTTTCAATTAATTTTAATTTTATTGCTTTTGAATTTATGCCTTATTTTGTTATTTGGTTACATATACATTTTACTTTTATTTATTTTTTTTTTTTTCATTTACATTTTTAAACATTAAAAACAAATCATTTTGTTGTTAAATGCGTGTGTATGTGTGTTTGTGTCGTTGTTGCGACCATGTGCATTAATGAAAACGTAGAATTACGTGAAGAAGAGATACATTTGGAAGAATTAAGCTTGAAAGAGATACAAGAAGAGGTTGAAGGTGAAAGAGAAGAAGAAGAAGCTGATGTCAATAAAAATCTTAAATATAGAAAATCCATTAAATCTCCCTCAAATGTACAAGTCGTGCAGCCCATGCAAATGGGCAGTAATAATAATAGTCCCGCCACAAGTCCAAGCTTAATGGTGCGCAGCAATAATACCTCAAAATTAAGGAACATTCCAAAATCTGCAAATACCTCTACTAACCTGAAGTATTCCCCTAATGCAGGTGAGTTTAAAAACATATTCCTGACCAATAAATTATACCAGAAAACAAAAACGCGCCAATTTATTCGAAGAAGTGCACATGATTTTGTGAATAGTTTATTTTAAAAAAAATAATCATTATATGGGCGCAATTGAAGGCAAATGCATTACTACACCGGCCAATCAAAACTCACACGTTGCACTCATCAATTAAAAATTGTTTAATAATTTTTTAATTTATTTAATTTTTTCTTTTGTGTCGCCATGATTTATTTGCTTTTGCTAAAATGTATATTATTGTTTATACCCACGACTAAAAGAGGAAGGTATACGAAATTTGTCACTCCGCTTTAAATTTATAGAATATGTCGTATCGTTACAATATTCTGACACTATTTAGATAAATTCTTGCTTCTGCTGGATGTTTGTTGTAGGTATTCTTAGTAATTACAAATTAAGATATTATAATCGGACAAGGTCGACTTATAGATAACCTAAATCAATTCCGTTACTAGAAGATTTCATCCATTTTTCTCATTAAAATATTAAAAGTTAGAGCTTACGTCCATGCAATTACATAATCACGAGAAACCTTATAGAAGATAGAGTCCGGAGAAGTAGACATACGTGGACCATGGTGAGCTTCTATTTCAAATTGCTATTATAAATCAATTTTCATTATAGAATGCGGAAAATTAGACATTGTTCTCATATAAAGTCTTACTCTTCTAAGAAAGTCTATCTGAAGAAAGTTCAAAATTTTATTTTCAACTTCATGTCATCCCATCCAAATTCTCTGCATTCGTCTATTGTCTTTAAATACTGTTTTTCATCGAGATAAAATCGAACATTTTTTTCATATAAGGATTTTCAGTGCGTTAGTAGTGGTCTTTAGGCCGTATGATAAACTTAATCAATTTTCTTAAAACTTAATTGATTTTCCCCCAAATCGATGAAAACTTTTATGTATTTTCGTTAACGCATTGTGGCTAAAGATAAAAGATTAGAGTTACGTAAATATTTTGCCCAATAATGATTCTAATTGATTCAATTACCTTGAGGTGGTGGGTATACAAGATTCGTCTTTTAAGGCGAATAATTCCATATTACTTTCAGTGTTTTTCAAACGATTTACTTTCATATTCTTCTTCGATTTCTCTAGCTTCGGGTCGTAAATTAACTGTAAGTTCTAAACGTCCAGGAAATTTGGCAGTTGTAAATAAATCGCAAACATTGCCAAGAAATTTGGGATCAAAAAATGCTATTAGCGGAGTTTCACCGCGACAGCCCATTAAAACAGCAGCCACACCTCCAGCAGTACGTAGGCAATTTGTAAGTAATAATAAAAAAACGATAAACTACGATAATGTATAATAACTTCTTTAGTTATAATCTCATATTCATAAGTTTAAGCTCAACTGGTTCCAATATTATTTGTCTCACAAAATTCAATTGTTTTTATATGATTACAATTTCTCAGTTTTTGTTTGATTTATCATTTGCAATCACTTGTCTCGAGTGGCGAAATAATCAAGATTCGTCTCGATCAGTTCCTTCTATAATCAAATGTAATTATAAGTATTGCAAGAAGGGATATTTCGAAGACTTGCAAAAGCTAGGTCTTCTCCGTATGTACCTGCCTTTAATATCTCATTTCTTTTTAAAAGCTTTAGAATGCTAACAAGTGAAGACACTAGAGTGAGACGTAGTCTATCCTTACGTTTAATATAGTCGACGACCTTTTGCGGAGAAGGCTTTGGATAGGGAATGGTCGAAAAAGTTTGCTGGTCCAAAACACTTTCAATAGCCTTCGTCCTTGGTCCAAAATGTGTATGTTTACCAATTTCCATCAACATATTTCAAAAATTGCAATCTGTAGATTGAACACAAGAAAACAGATAGACAGACGTACAGGCAAACTTAGAATCGATACAATAAAAACTGGTTCTATGTCAAGTCTCAAGTTGTGCTGACGTTGCGCATAGCAGTGCACCCTTGTACCATGTTCCATGTACATTCATGTTCAAGTCTATGTATATATCCTTGGAAAAAATCAAAATGCAGTATTTCAGAATTTTATCTTTGACAAGCAGTAACAAGTAGTGTAAACGTACTTTTGCCTTTTATATTCATATCATAGTCTTCTGGACGAAACACGCCACCGCAACGTTCACGAACACCTATCAGTGGCATTGGTATGAGCAGTCAGTCTAATAGTGGTGCATCCACACCAGTAGTCAGTGTTAAAGGTGTTGAGCAGAAATTGGTGCAAATTATACTTGATGAAATTGTTGAGGGCGGTGCCAAAGTCGAATGGTCAGATATTGCTGGTCAAGATGTAGCTAAACAAGCACTTCAAGAAATGGTTATCTTACCATCGGTGAGACCGGAACTTTTTACTGGTATGGGAAAGTGCTTGTAATCATTTTTGGAAAATTTTTAATTTTTTTTTTATATTTGTTTTTTTTTGTTTTTTTTTTTGTTAAATTTCAGGATTACGTGCTCCTGCCAAGGGTTTACTTCTTTTTGGCCCACCTGGTAATGGCAAAACGTTGCTAGCGCGTGCAGTTGCCACGGAATGCAGCGCAACATTTTTTAATATTTCAGCTGCTTCGTTGACCAGCAAATATGTGGGCGATGGTGAGAAATTAGTGCGAGCATTATTTGCTGTCGCCCGCGAAATGCAACCTTCCATAATTTTTATTGATGAGGTGGATTCATTGCTTTCGGAACGTAGCAGTAATGAGCATGAAGCTTCTAGACGCTTGAAAACTGAATTTCTTGTAGAGTTTGATGGTTTGCCTGGTAATCCGGATGGTGATCGTATCGTGGTCTTAGCGGCCACAAATCGTCCTCAAGAACTTGATGAAGCGGCTTTACGACGCTTCGCAAAACGAGTTTACGTATCTTTGCCCGACTTGGATACCCGCGAATTATTATTGCGTAAATTATTGCAAAAGCAAGGCAATCCATTAGATAGCGACGCCTTGAAACGTTTAGCTAAATTAACGGATGGTTATTCGGGTTCCGATCTTACCGCTTTAGCTAAAGATGCTGCTTTAGAACCGATACGTGAATTGAATGTTGAACAAGTTAAAAATCTGGATATCAGTGCAATGCGTCCGATTACAGAAACTGATTTCCATAATTCATTAAAGCGTATACGACGTTCTGTTGCACCTCAAAGTTTAACGCTTTATGCAAAATGGTCACAAGAATACGGTGATATTACCGTTTAAAAAGAAACAAAAATCAACACAATTTCCAATTGTGCTGCAATTGTGCTTTGTAAGATTCTGGTGTATATGCGATAACTTAAATCTGCTGCTACTACTTCACTATTAAATATTACTATTACTATATAGTTTTAAAGAAAAGCAACATTTTTACGTAAATGCCGTACGAGATTCGATTTTTCGAATAATTTTGCAACACAACTCTCGCTACCACCGTGTCACCTAATTTTTATTGATTGATAATCAATTATATGGATTTCCTTTAATATAGGCGTGAGTAAATTATATCTATTCTGCTATACGTGTTCGTACGTTTATTAATTTGATTTAGATTATTTCTCTTAATTGTCATAATTAATTTACATTGCATTTATTATTGTCTTAAAAACAATTTTTTTCATCTTTTTAAATAATATTTTTTTTTTTTTTTTTTTTTTTTTTTTTTTTTTTTTT